ACACTCCTGGATTACTAGCAAAACAAGGCTTTTACTCGTCAAGGATTGGATCGGTACCATACTTTTTTTCCAAAACAAAGGAGGCGAAATGCAGAAAATCGCCCTCTTTAGAAAAACGCATAAGATATTGTAAGATTTTTTTAAACGTAAGACGTAAAGACTTTTGTTAGAAAATGAGATTCCAATTCTTTAAGCTCACGCGCTTCTGTTACCATCACAAAGCTTCTGAAAGGTGAAAAAATAATGTTACAAGAACTAACCATTTCCTCATTTGGAGTAACATAACTACTGTCCATCGACGAAAGCTCTCGTTCCAGAATTGGAGGTGTTTCCTCCACCTCCATAGGAGGCGCAAAGTAATTCACTAGCTAAAATCAAGTACATGTATCAGCTGATGCTGACTACACTAATTTCTTATGTGAAAAAACATAAGAAAAAACATCTAGTCGTTGCCCATTTGATTTAAAGCAAATAATAAAAATCTCTAAAAATGAGTATTTGTAAAGAAATTTGAAATTAGAAAGCATAGTTGCCATTTACATTTGAAACTGCCTGAAGAACGTATAGAATGGATTAAGTCGACAAAAATCTAACTGATCACAAGAAAAAATCGATGGAACTCGTGATATGCCGATCAACTACCGTAAGTATGATAGATTAGTAAAGTATTGACCTTACTTACACTTACTTATTCTGCCGTCAAAGCACTCCATAAAATTATACTTTGCCCGTGCAGTACCCTGAAAGCACCGAATCCCATTGAAAACAATGATCTGATCTATTTTCAAAAACTGGTCGATATTGCGCGCGAAAACGAGCTCGGCGGAAACATAGCCATAATGCGCTAGTCCCCGTCTACTCGCTAGTTTATCCTTTTTATTTTTACTAAAACAACATTTATTAACAATGCTGTCGGAACCGCATATGCAACTCAATGCACTGGTAAGTGTATTGTTGTGAGCGCTTTTTCCATTATTTAACGATATATTTGGAAATCCAAAACTCCAACAATAGAAATTTTAGCGACGCGGTCGAGATGCGGACCAAAGAAGTCGAGTTCTATCCCTTAGCGTCTTCTACAAAGGAGATAATGATTCCAACGAACAGACCGAGATGTGAGTTTCATATGGCGAGGATCTTCACTCGTAAATATAGCTCTACATTTTGATTAGTGCTGAGCTAAGTTAAAGGCTTTCCGAGTTCGACATTCATTGCTGACAGCTACCCAAATTTCTAAACAAAAAACTCCCCTTCTCTTCACTGAACTTGCACCTTTTTATGCAAACGAAAGATGTTCCACCAAAACATGTTATTCAAATGCTACTAAGGTGATAAAGCATGTTGTAAATGTTTCCCGAAAATGACTTCGTTCCAGAACAAAGGCCCTATCTGATGTCTCATTAGCGGATTATCCAATAAACAATAAGGGAAGAT